ATAATTTTTACAATATCATCATCACTAATTTTTGAACTGCCCCTTTTTTTTTTTTTTTTAGCTTTGATTATGAAGATGCAGGATACCAATCAGCAGACCTAATCAAAATGGATATTCTCCTAAATGGAAATCCAGTTGAAGAACTGGCAACTATCATACACAGGTAAGTTGACTGGATTTCTTATCCAAAAGGAACAAGACTTCCTATTATTTGTCAATGAAAACATTAATAGGACTTGATGATCCTGAAGTCTTTCCTGACCTAAATGATTATATGATTCTARATGACTGTAGGTATAKGTATTACTCTTAAAATGACAAATGTGTATGAGCATTGAAGATTTTGCCAAATGACCAACTTCATCACCACTGAAAAAGAGGCATCTTATAATATGAAAATATGAAATACAGAATATAATCAATGGGAACTTTTTACTTCCCTTTCTCAGCTTAAGTACTGGGTGTCATAATTTTGTGGTAACTGTAGAGCAGAGAGAAGAAAATGCAAAATGCCAATCTTCTGAGAGGCTGGAAAAATTTAAGTTCAGACCAGTCTAGGAGATGCCAAATGAATCATTTATGGTACTTAATACTGAAAAAAAAGATTTTATTCTCCCGGTAATACCTGTTACATAGCAGTTTGTTGTTATCTTATTTCCAGACAGAGTACCAGAATATAAATATTTACTGGATGCAATTATTGCAGATTTTTTTTTTTTTTGCTAAAATGATTCAATTTCTATRAGTTTCTCAGGCATTAGAAGTGAGAATAATGCCTTTCCTGTTTACAGCCTCTCCCCTATCTCTCCTCACAAAGTTTTTGCCAGGCACCCKTCTGTAACTTCAGCATCCCTTTCCAGTAATCCCTAACAACTTTTTTKGGTTGTTTTGGTTTTCTTTCTTAAAATACTAATTTGTAGTTGATAAATACTTGRTATTTTTGTAGTTTCTACATAAATGCAATATTGAAATCCTGGGAATTCTGTAACTCCAGAAGGCTAACATAGGAAAATAACCTCCTTGCCTTGTTCAAAAGGGGTTGTAGTGGAGTAGCTCCATTGCATCCAGTTGCTACTTTAAATTAGTGTTTCTCATAAGCATGCAGTGTTTAGCAGTCTACCTGCATGTCTYGCTCTGAAAAGATGCAAAATTGAGTGGTCCACCTTGCAAAAGTTAGTTATTGGTTTAACATGTATTGATGAATGTAGCCTGTACCCTGAACTGTTTWACTCACTGAAACTTGKAACTCTTCTTTTAGCTTTAGATTTMATTTTTTTAAAATTTGTAGTTGCATTCATTCTGCTCTTGCTGCAGTTATTCTGAGAGTCTTCCCACTGAAAAAATTATGCTGAATTACATTTATAAAGAAAGCATTACAGAAATATTACTGTAAGCTCAGTATTACAGTAGTCATTACTTGTTCTTACTATACAAGTAAATACCTGTATCTTTTAAAACTGTAGTGCTCAATGAACATGACTTAAGTACTTCATGTTTWAACTGTTTGCTCTATGTTGGTAGCAAGGAGTCACATTGTTGATATGTGACAACATGTATGTTGGTCAAAAATATCTGWTAAATATGAGTATTTTTAAAGAGAACAGAACTATTTCTTTCTAATGGCTTATGAAAGTATCAGCTTCTGTAGACCTTTTGTTGTTTTTCCAAAACCTGAAGCATACACAGATGCTGAATGTAGTTGGATAATTTTTATTAGCAGATCACAAGAGTACATTAATTAATTTTTTTCTTGTGATATAAAACCAGACATTTAAAGTATTCGGTAATATGTAATTTTGACTTCTTGGGCCGACAACCAATGAATATTCTACTTCACCTAGTTTAAACTTTCATTTGAAGTAGTAGCACTATTCAAAATGTCTTCAGTGTGATGGATAATTAGGGTGCTTTTTATAAATACTTTATATGATGTTATATACTGATGTTAATACAGTCTTATCATCTGTTAGTATGAGAAACGTGACATAGAGAGACCACTTATTAGATGTGAAATTATGATCTGATCTACTTCTGAGTTAAGAAGAGGAAAACCTCTCCTAAATTATTTCAATCAGTTTGATCTATGGATATATTTTTAGTGTCACTTTCTTTTTCAGTGATAAAGCATATGCTGCTGGTAAACTCCTGTGTGAACGTTTAAAAGAGACGATTCCTAGACAGTTGTTTGAAATAGCCATCCAGGCTGCTATTGGCAAGAAAATCATTGCAAGAGAAACGTAAGTGAAGCCCTTCTGTTCCCTTTCATTTTGTTCTGTCCATATTTTAAGATATGTAAAACACAGACTTGTAAAGTCTTACCTCATTTTATACATTACAATATTTTGGTTTTGCTATAAAGTTGTATTTTTCTGATATATGCTACTTGAAAAGGATAAAAACACTCCACATTTGAGCAATGGTGATTGACTAAAGATTTTGAATTAAATTTATACAAAGAAATTGTATTTTTATTTTAAATTGTTTGTGGTCAGCATTGCACTTAGTGGATAAAGTCTAACTTGCAACACCCATATGTCTACTTCCTCTTTGGCAGTGGAAAAAGTTTCTTATTACTGAAAAAAAATTAGTTGTGGAATAATTTGCTGTGAGAGTCAGCAAAAAAAACCTGATTTGTGCTGTTCCAAAGGAAATACATTGCAGCTGAACACACAACTTTTTCCTAGCACACACTTCTTCAAAGCAAACCATCTCCTTGATGTTGTTTCTCATTGCATTTTTCTGTTACTGTTTGAACAGGATTTAAATTGTAACAAAATAATTAAAGGTCAGAATTCAAGCAGAGTGCTATAAATTTGTACATGTATATATACATGGATGTAACACTTCTGTGAGTCATAGCTGAAATTCTAGATAAAAAGGCGAGATTGTGATTCCTTTATGTACATACTATATATCCTAAGGTATATTGCTAGAATTGGGAATTGCGAATTACCTATTCTGTTTAAAACTTCATCTTTTGTAGACAAAACCTGAAAATGTTAAGATGCCAAAGAATCTTACAAAACTAGTATAAAAACAAGTAACATTCTGACAACTCAAGTACTTACCTTCACATATAGATGTTCTAATATGTTAAGGTGTATGTGTCATTTTATTTTGCAGGCTGAAAGCTTACAGAAAAAATGTTGTGGCAAAATGTGTAGGTATTTTTTTTCTTATTTATTCATGTTTCTGACATTTGTAAACCTTAGCATTCTACTACAATGATAGGCCCATCTTTTCCTAGAAACTCAGCAAAGACATGTTCTGCTTGTGCTCCTAAGTGTCAGTAGAAATTTAAGATACTTTTATGCTTTTATTTTAAAAGCCAACTCTTGTAACCTCTTGCTGCAGCTTGAAGAGTGGATCAGATAAAGTAATGTTTTTTTTCAGTTACACACTTGAGTGTGTCTTTTCATCCTGTCTCCTCACCATTTTCCAACATTTGTAAGCATATTAGTACATGTGTGTTTGTGTGTACACAGGCATATACGTAACTTGATGATTCCTAAATTGGTTTTCAGGTGATAGAAGGAAATATAAATATGCTTCTTTAGAGACTAGAGACTTTTACTTATGTTTGCAGTAATACACTGTAATAAAGCTTTAAATGCAATAGTTGACTATGGACAAGACTCACAAAGCTATTGGAAAACTGTGATGCCTCTTATTTAGCTCTTATTTAACTCTCTGAAGTAAACGTTGGAAAATATTAAGTGTCCCTTTCTCACAACTGCAACAGAATTCTTCTGCTAGGCACAGCTGTGGGATGGTGTCTGTTCAACATTGTACAAGAGTTTAATTAATTTTTCTAAATGTAAGCACCTAATGCCCAGTGTGTCTGAGCTGGTATCCTGCTGCTGTTCCAAGGTGATTTGGATCTAATATATTGTCTAGTTTCAGCCAGGCTTACATGAATTTTTCTATTTAGGTGACTGAGTTCAACCCTCAGTTGTATAAAGTAATGTGCTTACTTGCTTCCTCATTCTTTTTAACTAGTGACCTTTAAGCAAAACTGTTCGGAATGTGAAATAATATTTTTGTCCRAATATAATCAGCATTTCTGACTATTTTTAAGCCTTTAAGTTCAGTGTTGCTGAAATGTACTGCAGTTGCAGTTGAGTTTTAAGTTTAGTAAAGTATTTTTTCTTTTCACAGTATGGTGGAGACATTACAAGAAGAATGAAGCTTTTAAAGAGGCAGGCAGAAGGCAAGAGATTGATGAGAAAAATTGGCAATGTGGAGGTACCAAGAGATGCCTTTATACGAGTTCTAAAGAGAGAACCTGACAAATAGAGATCAGTGAGATCTGGTAATTTGCTCAGTTTTTTGCAGATAGTAGCAAAATGAGCTAATATATAATTTATCACTGTGAGAGGGAACATATTTGACTGTAAATGGTATAAATTTCATATGTGTTAAAAGATGAATTGAAACAACTTAAAATGTACATATACTTGTAGATTATTATGAAATTAAAGTTACTTGACTGCATCTAAAAGCTTGCATCATGTTTCACTGTTTTCATACTTTTAACACTTAAAATCAGCATAATTGGGGGGTTTTTGCATTGCAAGTCTCTATATGAGAGGAACCATATAGCATAAAGGTTATAAAAATAATTGAAAGGTATGAATAGACAAACAAGTCTGGTCATGGGTTTTTTTTCTTTTGAAAAACTGTAACTGCACAWCTTTCTTTGAAGTTATAACTGTTTGCACAAAAGTATCAAGCTGCTTCCTGTTTTATTTTCCTAAAGTTACTGTTGTCAGGAAATCATGATGCTGGGAAACCATGTCAGATTAAAAAATCAAAACTTTTTAGATGTTCCACACTGTTCATTTTAAACCTGTTGAAGTGTGTAAGTTTACCATTAGTTCAGCCTAGTTATGTTCATCTCCAGGGAAAGAATAAGTTTTAGTATATCAAAACATAGGATTTGTAACTGTTTCACCAATGAGGCCAATTCAGGCCTTAAAAAGTATCTTTGGCATGAGGGTTTGGTTAAAGCATATCTTGGTGTAGTTAGAGAAGTTTTATTTACATTGTTCACATACTAAAGTGTCTTCAGTTGAAAGTGGCAGGATAATGTCCATAGTGTAAAGTGTTACTTTTGGAAGTGTAACAAAGCAATCACAAACACAAGGTAGTTGCCCCACTATATGCTGTATTTGCAATGCTTGCCCACCTCCAAAAGCTTTTAAGCTGTATTGTTTTTAYTTTCAGGGACTAATTTAGCTCTTAACAGAGCTCTTCATTTCTTGTTAAGTATATTTTAGAGAAYAAACTGCTAGTAATACCTACTAAAGTAGTCAATCACCTGGAAAGTCTGTTCTTAAATTAGGCTTGTACCTACGCTTTGATCTTTTAGTTCTATTTCAGCCTGAGTACAAGAATGAATTGGGACAATCTTTGGAGGAATGGAATTGAACAGGACATGTTCCCTTTCAACCTGTATTACTCTCAGAGTACTGAAAAAGGGAAGAGGAAATTCTGATGCTTTAATSGTTTATTGAGGATTTTTATTCTGTTTGGTTGTGGTTCGTTGGTGTTTTTTTTATTTAATTTGAAGCTGTTTCAGTTGCACTGAAAAAGCAAAGATCTGGATGTGAACAAGGTATCTGTACCTCTAATAAAGGTCCGTAAGTTGCTTCTACTGACCCTGAAGAAAGGAAGGTTGCAGTGGATAATGGCCCTCTAACATATTTATTTTATTCCTCCCCTGTAAAAGCTAGCCAGTCAAGAAACTACAGATGCAGTGATACATGCTAGCATCAAAGGAGCTAAAGCAAGCTCCTCCCCACCCCTTGAATTAGACATAAAAGAAAGCACTGGCTTTATACTGAGGAATAAGGCAGAAGCTAAAGGTAAGCTAGAGATTATCTTAACAGAAAATCATTCAAAAATACAAGTGCAAAAACTGAGCCTTAAAGCTGAAAGCCTGTTTTAAATGTGTGGATGTTCAATGTGCTGTTGAGAATTGAAACATTCAGCCTGACTTCCTACTCTCCTATAGACAGAYTTCCATTCTTTTGTTAATTTTGCAGAATCAGAGAACAGTCCAGATTTTAAGGGACCTTGTAAGACCATTTGGTCCAACCATTTATGAGAAAGGTAAGCTTAGATGAGACTCTGCCACATCCCTTGGGAGATAATGTSCTTTGTAATAAAGGCTACATGCCTGGCATTTATCTGGAAAGTTGTTGAAGTTAGACTTTGTTGTACTTTTCCCAGTGAGTATTTTACACAAGGGCTTCCCCAAAAAAAAGTCTTCATTAGTAAAKTCTTATCTTCCCCCTTTGGTGCCTAATTGCTCCCTGAAATTCTGAAATATTTACTCATGACAATTTATATTAGAAATGAAACAATTTTGAAAAAAAAGAGATTTATATTTAAGTTTTACTTATTTTCAAAGTAGGAAATAACATTCCTTGTAACAGCTCAATGTTTATAATGATACAGTGAAAAAGTGATTAACAGTTGGCTTTAAATGATGRTTTGCAGACATTATAATTCTGTAAATTAAATTCTCTTCAGGCATTTAATTGTTACACCAGTTATATAATTGAACAGCTACCTCCAGGAAGGAACATTGACATTTTTCCTTATCTATAAAGCTCGATTACCAAAAATATAAAAATCCTAAAGTAATTTGGAATACATGAGAGGAAAAAGTGCTAGGGTAAAGTTTAATATTTTTATCCATGGAGCAACTTTCAAGAATTTTGTGCATTTTTAGGCACTGCATTTGTCTTTTCATTTGCCTGAACTATACAGCAGGACTTGAGATGCCCAAAAACTGTTTAAGACAAATTTAAGGCAACCAAGTGCAAAAGCTCAGTGTACATTAGATATATGTAAACAGAATATTTCATAGTAAAAATTATACAACTATTACAAGTCCATAGTATTAACAAAGGCCAAAACCATTCCGCCTTGAGACACAAATGTAAAAGGTAGTTACACTAACCAAGCCAAAAATTAAAAATTCTGGGAAATGAAGTGTCATCATCTCTAACATGAGGCAGATGCATTACATTGCTGTGCTAGAGTAAGTGCTCTGCTTTTTCATTCCACATAACATGCAGCCTTTCCCAAGTTTGCTCTGTTCCATTTAGTGATGTACCAACCAACAGCAGAGCTCCAAATGTTAAAGCAAAATACACAACACAGCAAACAGATGGAATGTGAAGATATTGGACCTTTTTAAAAATACAGTACCTAGGATTTCCCATTTTAAACGGTTTTCAGCATATTGCATAGCAGTGAACTCATCTGCTACCTAAAACTGTTGCTGCTGACCCACATGGAGTTCCTCTTCAATCTTCTTTCAGTTTTCTTTCATACTGTACAGTGGGTCCACAAGCTTATTGTGCACATGCATTAAACCTTGGGGGGAAAGCAACAATGCCAGCTTTACATTAGTTATACTTTGTTAACATGCTCTTCTATCCACAGTTTTATTTGGAGTATGCTTCCAAGTATACATTTTAAATAGCTCACTGAAGAGAACAACACTGCCTATTTAAAGTAGTTCAAAATCAGAGACAGCAGATATATTCCTGTATCACTTGCATACTAATGACATAACCAGGATCAACTGAGCKGGAACCAGACAGTTCTCTTATTAATAGACCCAAAATGCACATCTGAATACTTCCAAATGAACTGCATACATATTTTTTTTTTTCCTGTATGAAAAACTGTGTAACAGCAACATAATTCCCTCACACCACAATTTGTCTTAAAAATCAGATGCACACATAGTGAGAGTTATACAGCTTGAGTTCTTTTGCAATGTTCTAGCATTTTGGTAATACTGTCTTTGTAATAAYGGTCCTAGACAGGCAAAATCAAGTTAAATTATCCAGACTCTTAATGCAGACTCAATTTCAGCAATTCAACTGTTTTCTGTTCTAGCTGGGCTTTTTTTTTTGTCATATACAAGTCCTTCATAGCTATGATTAGGGAGAYTATTTTCTTTCTTCTTCAACTAGTTTAATTCTGGAAAATGCTGAAGTGCAATTAAAAAAAAAGTTTCCCTCTTTACTTTGCTATAACTTAGTAAAAATGTTACCTACATCTAGGTRTGTATGACATTGGATCACTGGCAGGTTTTTAACCTCATTTCACCTTAAGGACTAATAAGAGTAATGATCRGTGTTCACAGTCTGCAAAATAGAAGTCCATTTTAGCATTGAACTAAAGATTGAACTTCTAAAATTAAAATATGCAACATTAAAAGTCATTTTCTTAAAAACCATGAAAGAAATCTGGCAGYACTGCATAWTTCAGTGATTATCTATGGCAAAGAATATGCAAGTACCTTTGCTACTTGATGCAGCTGGTGGCAATCTCTGTGCCACTGCAGCAACATGAAATTTGAATAACTGTACAATCTAAGGTCATCACTGTAGGTGACACAAAAAAAGCATCTTATGCAGCATCTATTACTAATCACTGTGTGATTATTAATATAAAATACAGATATTAGATCAAGCCTAATATTTTTCAGTTTAACAGTGACAAAAAATATACATTTGACATAGAAGTCTCTTGTCCTGAAAGAGTAACAGCTGCATACACTACTCAAACTAGAAGCATGTTTTGAGCTTTAAAACATTTAACTTCCTACCAGTATTTTCCTCTTCTAAAAAGGGGAAATAAAAAGGAGATAATTACCGAGTTCCTAGATGCATGAAAAATAGTTACAAAGTATTGCTTCTGCCATACTTAATTAAGAACTTTTAAATCCTGTTAGTGACACTGTTACAGGAAAAAATAGTGAGAAACACAAGGTTTTTTAAAGGAATGGACCAGACTTGATAGATGCCAAAACAATATCTAAGAAATGTCCCACTGTATATTCAAGTATGCTTTAAATAAACAGATTTCTGCATACAGTTTTAAGAGGAACATGCGTAAGTATGGAAAATACTATCCTGAACTAACTTATCTGCAGACAAATTAGTAAATTCAAAATTAATTTTCTGTTCCATTCTTCAAGGAAGTTATTTTTTCWTTTACAGTAAGACCGTAAGTACACTTGATAATTTTAGTCTACAGCAGGTTTTCAGAAAGTTAGAAAGAATGGAATAGGTTAATCTGTTTACCAGCCAGTGTGGTACTTTATTATAAAACAAAAAAAAAAATTGCAGTTTCCTATTGAAATTTTTAAGTGATGAAAAATTACCGTAAATCACTAGCATAAACAGCAGTATTAAGAACTACCTACATTACCTAAGAAGTCTAACCTGAAGATCAAGATTCAGAAAGAACTCCAAATCTGACCGACACTGATTTCTTCTCCATCTTGTAAGAGGAAAAAAGCTCACTAATTTGAGAGTATGTAAAATTAAGCAAGTTTAAAAGTACACCATCTTTTTAAAAATTCTATTGCTTTCTATTACAGGGTAATCAAATACAATGACACAATAGCACACATTCATAAATAGTAGCCCTTGATGTTTTTAAAGCAATGTTCAGTGTCATTCATACCTAGTAATTCTACATTAGGTTTGTATTTCCCAAACAAAGCCTCTGCTTATATGAAATACAGGATAATATTTCAAACTTATCCAAGCAGTTAGAGAAGTTTATCTTYGAAAACAACAATAAGCACTCTCTAGCAGTGTGATACAGGAAAAGACTAATGCTTCCTTCTACCCCACAAATACATAGCAGAGAACAGCATATACTGAAAAATCTAAAATTAACAAGTTGGCCACAAGGTATCAGGATAAAAATCACAGTAATGTCCAAATTGCAATATAATACATATATAAGCACTGGTATAACGCTCTAAAAAAAATTCCAAAAATTACAATCTTGTTCTCTGATACCTCAGCTACTACAGGTATCCAATCCATGCTAGTGAGAAAGGTGACTAAGTCACAGAATTGTATGTGCTGTGCTAATATAGTCAGGAGAAAATTACTTTTCTCAGCTTCTACAGTCTCAGTGAAACAGAATTCCATCTAGGAAATCTCAATGACTATCAAATATCCTGACTTMCTTTAAGTTTGCCCCAATATACCAACTACAAATATGAGAAGCACAGTAAAAGGGTGCAATGTTTTCAAAGTCAATATAGATTGTTATACTAATTGCACACAAAAAATGTCCCCAGGTGGCTTCAAARTCTGTATCACAGTTTACTAGACATCACATTGCAGCACATAGCAAAAGCAACATGAAAATGTGTCAGGATTAATAAACRTATTGAGTTGYCTTTAGGCGAAACTTTCCAGCATAYTTATGACCTGTATTCTGGAACACCAGATTGCTGCTGTTCAAATTTAAAAGACTGTTAAACTATTGTTTCAAACTAGAAGCAAAGGAAATACTCTTCCCAAGTAGATTTGTCTGGAATGTGAGTAGCACAAATTATGCCTCCTGGCAAATTTCCAAACACAAGAAATAAGTTAACATTTAGTATTTTGACTATATAACATTATACATTAGCGACTGCAAAGTGCTGGAAGGCTCAGACTTAAATCAATATAATTTCAAAGCAGTTGGTTTTATGTAAACACATGTAACCTCCATTTCAGTGCTCACCTTTAAAGTACTTCACAGTTTTAACTCTTAGTTCTAAAGTAGCATCTTCATCACACACAAAGATTGTGCGAGGATGTTGTTGGAAAGCAGAAACTGTCCACATATGATTGACTCCTTCTTCAATTGCTTTGTACAATGCAAAAGCCTTATGCGCACCTGTTATAAGAATCATCACCTGCAAAACAAAGGTCTCTTTACTTTTAATCCAAGTATCAATACCAAGTAATCTTGAAAACACACATGCAACTAGAACTAAATGAGTTCTTACTTCTCTAGCATCCATCACTGTACCCACACCAACTGTTAGCGCCATAGTTGGTACTTTAGATAAGTCTCCATCAAAGTATTTAGCATTTGCCAAAATGGTGTCCATTGCTAAAGTCTTCAATCTTGTTCTTGAAGACAAACTGGATCCRGGTTCATTGAATGCAATGTGGCCATCTGGACCAATGCCTTATCAAAGTTAAAAAAAAATAAATTATTCCAGGCCTGAGAGTCAACACATAACCTCAAACATCATAAAGAAATTTAAAAAAAAATGTTTAGGACTCAGTCTTTCCTTTTGGTGCCCCATTTTCAATAATAAACATTCAAAACTTACTTAAGTCATTATAAACTTGCCACCAACCATTCTGTTTTGGTATTTATACTGATTCTTCRTTAGTCACAAAACTTTCTTTCCTTCTTTCTTTCTTTTTTTCTAATTGAAAAATCTGACTTTTCGTCAAATTATGAAAATGGTGATTAAAGAAATGGTGTACATGCTTGAATTGTAACGAACCACACAGCATTTCCTCATACCTCCAACAAACAGATCAATCCCTCCTGCTTCTTCAATTTTCTTTTCAAATGCATCACATTCCGCCTGTAAGTCTGGTGCATTCCCATCAAGGATATGAGCATTATTCGGATCTATATCAATATGCTTAAAGAAGTTGTTCCACATATAGGAGTGATAGCTTTCTGGATGATTTCTGGGAAGCCCTAAAATAATTTAGACTGAAATTACCATATGACAAGATCTAGCCCAACACCTTTAATTCTGCTCTATGTGCAACTTTAATTCTAGTCTAAGGCATGCAAGGGAAACCTGAGTTAAATAAATAAATCAAGATTTGAAACTATATCGAGAAGGGTTTGCTGTTGGCATATACAGGGTAATTGGTTTACATTCCTTTCACATACATTTTATGACAGATAAAGTCTTCAATAGAAATGCAGTCACAATATTACATGACAATATAATTTCTACAGAACTATTGTGAAACACTGAATTTAGCCCAGTGTTTATTTTTGCATTTTTGTAGATAAACGAATAGAGAAAAATGCCTAGCAGTCTAATACAGGRGTACAAACATACTAGACTACACTGGTACTTTGACAAAGTATTAAATATTTTTTATAAGGAGGAAAAAAAATAACAGTACAGTGTATTCTCAAATAGTAGCATATCTTACCTACATATTCATCCATGTTGAAAGTCTTTACATATTTGAAAGAGAGATCTCCATTTTTGTGATACTCTATCAGCTTTTTGTAGCATCCCAAAGGTGTACTCCCTGTTAAATAAAGTTTTTCTACTGTTCTGTGTATCTGCACAACATTTTCAGTGTATTTTTATGTCTTCACAGTAAAATTTTACTACAATACTTAACATACAAGCAATCTGCTGTTTCTCATTTAGTATATTTCAGTTTCTCAAACGATCACAATTTTTCAGAAATCAAATCCATATTTTAAAAAAAAGTATTACCAAAAATAATACTTACRTTCTTTTAAATATTGTATCTGCTAGCAATGATATAAACATTGTTCTAGGCTTAGTTATTTATAAAGACTTTGAATAMAACTTGCCTGTTGGTAGACCAAGCGTGAAATATCTTCCTTGACTTGGCTTGAACTGGATAATACGATTACAGATGTATTTGGCTGCCCATTCACTAGCCTGATCATAATCTTCAAGAATTACTAGCCTCATTGTGGCAGTGAGCAACTCGTATGATAAAACAAACTTAAACCTGGAGAAAATGTTGAAGTTTTAAAAATGAGCACCACATGAATAGTTGTAAAATGGTTAGATTACAGAGGAGATAAAAAAACATCTTTCACACCGATGACTTCCATAAGCATACCACACCCAGGAAGTCCTAGTTCAATATGGACAATCAAAAGAAAAGTTATAGAATCCAAATGATAGATTACAGTCAAAATATTTACTAAAATCCACAGAAGACTAATTTAAAATAATTTATAGGAAAAAGCTAAAACAAAATGAGAACAAGCCATTTTGAACTCCAATCTTTCAGTCAAGTGCTATCACTAGRAAAGAGGAAATACTCAAACACTGAGAATAACTCGTGTTTCTTATGATTAGATGAAWGCCTAWAACTTCAGAAACARGACCCAGAATAATCCTGTGTTTCTGTAATCAAAATACCTAATTGGGACTAAATAATTAAGACTCATTTCACTCCCATTCTAGCTCCTTAACTTAGCTCCTTTGCTTYAGTAAGTTTATTAATCTATATTTGAAATGTTTACAATTCAAAAGAAAAAATACTCATGAGGTCACATTTTTTTCTTTCCAACAGAAGTTTAAAAGGCTTTATTTCGAGTGCCATTGTATCAACCTTTAAGATAAATATCCAGAAAAGAAGCTTGGTTGCTAGAAGTATACAAGTATCTCTTGCATTTAAGTGAAACTAATTTTTCCATGAGTTTTTGGCATTTAAATGAAACTCATTTTCCCGTGAATTTCTGTTTAAGAGAGTCTGTTAATTACCAGAAAGACTGAGGCTCTTTCACCAGTTTGTGATGTGTTACTCTTCACTTCCCAGGTCTGGGTGTGCTTGGCATTAGCCAGAATACAACTCAGCTGCCATAAGCCATGGGCCAACTATGTGACACACCACACTACTCTTAGTGACCCAAAATGAGCGGCTGGTTTTAAAACAAATACGAATTAAAGTATTTAACAGRGTAGCATGTTTGTCCCATTAAACAATGGATAAACTGATCACCGGCGTGTACTGCCTGTGCCACCTCCTGGACAGCGGAGCCGTCACAAGCCAAACTCACCTTTGCAGAGGAAACGCTATTCTTGAGATACCCAGAAGAGTTAACAGACAATCCCAAGGAGGAAAAGCAGGCCAGCGGGAATAGACTCCGCGGCTTTAGGGCGGCCTCATAAAATCCCAGCAATTTTATACTGGGAACACGAGGATGCTCTCCAAGAGCAGCGGCCCACAGACAGCACTAGAACCACCGCGGATTTTCGGCTAAAAGCACTTTTCTTTGGTTTTGTTTGCCAGGGGGAAGGGGTGGGCTGATAAACCTACACCGGGAGGGTGTGATCGCAGCAGGCTCAGCAGCCCCGGGCCCCGCGGCCTCCCTTCCCCCGCCCGCGGATACCCGCACGGTGCAGCGCTCACCCGGGACAGCCCGCGGCGGCCAGGAGCGGCACCAGGAGCGGCAGGAGCAGGATGAAGCAGGAGCAGGACGGGCACCGGCAGCCGCCCCGCCGCCAGCGGAACCCGGCGCACGACCCGGAAGCGGCCGGCGCGGAGGGAAATGGGCTCCGGGGGCCGCTGCAGTTCCGGGCGGCGGGGGAGCCTCTGCACCAACCCCCCCTGTGCTGCTGCCGAACGAGCCGGCACCTGAGAAAGGTTCACCTATGCTTTAAACGTTTACATCATGTAGCTACAAAGGAAGCTGTGCGTAGTTACTGAAAAAGAATAATAAAAAAAAAAAAAACTTAGGTGAAGCAACAACGTCTTGGTGAATCACAAGTTGACCGCAAGCCGGCAATGCACTTAGGGCCAGGAGGGCTGGTGGTTTCCTGGGTGTGCATTGGGAACGGTGTGGCCAGCAGGTTGAGGAGGGTGACCCTSCCCCTCTGCTCAGCCCCGGTGAGGCCCCATCTGTGGTGCTGTGTCCAATTCTGGGCTCCACTGTTCAAGAAAAGCAAGSAGCTACTGAAGAGGGTCCAGTGAAGGCCAYAAAGATGWTGAGGGGTCTGGAGCATCTCTGTTATGAGGAGACTCTTGTGAGAGTTGGGCCGTTTCAGTCTACAGAAAACTGGGAGGAGGTGTTATAAATCAATATAAATATCTCAAGGGCAGGCGTTAGAGGATGGTGCCAGACTGTTTAGTGGTGCCCAGCAAAAGGACAAGGAGAAATGCCATCAACTAAAACAAGAAGTTCCACCTGGACATAAAGAACTTGTTTACCTGAGGGTGGCAGAGCACTTGAACAGGCTGCCTAGGGACGTCATGGAGTTTCCCCTCTATAGAGACCAAAAACCCACCTGGTCACATTCCTGTATAACCTGCTCCAGGTGACCCTTGCCTAGGCAGGGGATTGGACCAGATGATTTCCAGAGGGCCCTTCTAGCCCTAACAATTCTGTGGCTCGGTGATTCTCTTGCTTTAAAAACAATCAAGTCATTTCATAGCCTTAGCTAAGCCRTAATTAAACAGCTGTGGGGTGATAAATCTTGCTGTGGGAAAGAGCTAATAGTCTRAAAGGATGGTGCTTCAGAATGGAATGGGGTAGAAGAAGGGAAGCTAATAAAGGGCAGTGTGTTTTTTTTAAAAAAATGGGGTCATAGGTGAGCATAATGATACATTGTTTTGGCAAGACTGAGATTAGCTCTGTTTGTTAGCTTATGATGCTAATAATGCCAATTTTTTAATGTGGGCTTGATCACCATCTAGGTCGTTCACTTAAGATCCATCTTTGTGGGTTCCTGCCAACTCAGTATACTCGTGACATAAATATACTCTGCTATGAGTGATTCTGTGAGCCTGTCTAGCAAGGTTTAGAAAGACTGAGAAATACTTTGCCAAGGGCATGAAGGGGGTGTTTGGAAACTTGTGAGGGAAAAAAAAAGTCTTTCTGTGGTCTCTGGGTCTTAGCAGGCAACCAGTAAAAATGCTTTGTGTTTCAAAACCTGCCTTTCATTTGAACTTAACATTTGATGTAAATAAACAATTTTAGTTAATGCACATTCTTCTGATAAAGTTTTTATCTCAGMAATTTTAGCAGGTCCTGAAGAACAGTGTTTTGCACATTTCTTGAGTCACACTCTGAGCATTTGCGGCTCTCTTTGTTTCAGAGTACACTTTGAATTTTCAGATCTTATGTAACAATTTAAGTTTTGCCTCTAGATTTCAATGCTGGGGGTTTTTCCTACCTCTGTGAACCATGTCTGACACCTCAATGGTAAACTGCTTCTGCACACAGCAGAGTAGATAACACATTTCTGTGGTATTACCACGCACCTAGGTACCAACAAGCCTGAAATCACATCCTTCCCTTGAAAGCTCTGTTGGTTTCCACAACTGGAAAACTGTTTGTTTGGGGTTTTCTTCATCACTACAGAAAAACTTACAATTCAGGTAATAGGCTTTCTCTTGTTGCATGTTCTCCAGCAGGTCTGAGAATATGTGATGCACTGTCCTACACTGAGGGAAACTTGTGCTTTTTTCTAGTGCCTCGAAATTTGGAACAGCCATGTATGTTGCGTTTTAGCCAACTTGGCAATGTAATTAACCGCTTTTGTTAGATAGACAAATTCCTTGTCTTTCATAAGTATCTTCAATTCTTACTCTCCTTGTTGGTATGCTRATACCTAGAGTATGATTTTTCAGCAATTCTTCAGATTTTCCTTTTTCATTTACTTTTTAATCATTAGCAGATGAAAAAYGGTCTATATGCACTGAAAGTTGTTGCTAACAATTACCAATTAGTATCAAATCTGAATTCCTTACTGCATTTAACTGAGTAGCATAACTAGAGATTTCCTAAAATTTCACAGTTATTTACTGTAATCTGTTGCTTTTGGATAGTCTTTGTGTGATTTTTTTTCTTTTATTTTCTAAATGGCTCTTTCTTTTAAGACTTAATTTACTCATGGTGATCTGATTTATATACATCTGCTTTGATCAGATGGCTTTTGTGCTGGGTTGTTTTTTTTTGTTTGTTTGTTTTTTTAACCTGTGTTTAAATGACTAAGAATTTAAACGGGATGTACTTCAATAGTACCCAAACTACCCTGAGTTTTACCTGAGGAAGACCACCTCGACTTCAGGTGAATCCAGACTTTTAACAAAGGAGCTGCTCCTTCAGATTCCTTCTGATTTAGTTGGAAGAACAAAGTATCCTGCCCAAWGCTGGCCAGTTTTCATCCTATGAAGGGAAATTACTCAAAAGTGTATTGACATGCAGGAAAGACTGAGAAGAAAACAGAAAACATTGCAATGAAAATACTTGCCAAGGCATTAAATATAGAGATCGAGAAACAAGTAATTGATGAAAAGACTTAAAAAAGGACTCACTCTTACTACCTTGCCTGAATTTTTTTTTTTAGTTGAGTCTGGCTGAGGTGGGGTAATTTTCCATGTAGCTGCCCTCATAGTGCTGTGTTTTGCATTGRTAGCTAGAAAGRTGTCAATACACTCYAGTGTTTGGCTGCTGCTGAGCAGCGCTTCACTGCATCAGGGCTGTCTCTCCAACATTCCCTCTGGGAGGAGGCTGGGGGTGGGCAGGATCTTGGGAGGGGACACAGCCAGGACCACGGACCTACTGACCAAAGGAATATTTCATAACATAGGACACGTGCTCAGATAGAAAAGTTAAGAGAAGCTCAGAGAGGGAAGGGGGTAGTGGGGTAAGAGGCAGGTATTTGTTATTATGGTGATTGTCTTCCAAAGCAACTGCTACATATACTGAAGCTTTGCTTCCCAGGACGTAACTGCACCTCACCTGTTCATGGGAAGTMGAGAATAAACCTTGTGTTTTCATTTACTTCATGTGCAGCCTTTACTTTATCAAACTGCCTTTATCTTGATCCATGAGGGTTTTTTTGTCCATCTTATTTTCTCCCATGCTGTCCTGCTGAGGAAGACTGTGATAGAATGGCTTGGTCAGTACTTGGTGTCCAGCCCACAATTCTGCTGTGTAACAAGTGCAATCAAGAATAGGGGTACAAAAATATGGTAACTGAGACCTTTTAGAGGGCGATAACCATGTGGGGAGAAGGGAAAAAACTGCAGTGAATATTTTTTCTTCCTAGTTTTCAGAACTCTGAAAGAATGTGAGGACAGTAGTTGTTACCCCTGTTACTCCATTTAATGCCACAGGGTCAATAGCCTGCTATTTTCCTGCCATTAGCGCAGACTGAATTTCTGGTAACTCCATTTGTCTTCTGGACATAAGCCTGAGGGGACCAAATCCACTTGGCAGCTTTGCTTATTTTTCACAAACACTGAAGACAGTTTCACATGTGCATTGCATCACTGTACGTGCAACAGCTTTCTTCAAAACTTCCCTGGTTAGATGTCACCACGTTTCTATGAGCTGGGGAGTACATGGCYTGTGATGTCTTTTGAGTTTATATTTTATGAAACAATCCAAGTGGAACCGTTTTCCAGTGAAATAGGAAGTATTAGATTTTGTGATGCCAGGACTGTGGCAGCAGAGACACAAATGAAGCATCTAGCTAATATTTAGCACCATCAAATTTTCATAGGCAAGGCTTTGAGTCAGTTTGTGAACATCTGTATAGTAATAGATATGCACCCATGGTTTTGGTTTTTTTTTTTTCCATTTTGTTCTTGCAATGTGTTGGTGCTTCCTGYGTGGATTCTGGTGGAATCTGCCTCAAAACAGTCAGTACCAGCTGGTTCTGAACCTAGGAGCTGGTCACTACAGAGCAAACAATGAAGGTGATGAGGGGAGTGGTGTGTGGCTTAAGCATTTACTGTAACATCACTGTTACCATTTTGCTGGTGAACTCTTCAGTTCTTCAGAACAGGGGTTCAGTGTCAGAGTTTCCTGCTCAGTACTACTTCATTTTGCCATGTGGAGAGATCTGATGGTGGTCATTTTCCTGGGTTCCTGAAGTGCCATGATACTTCTCTGCAAGTCTCCGTGCCAGAACAAGCAGGCAGAGGTGCCTGCTACATTCCCTGCAGATGGGATCTGTCCCTTTTACTGATGTGTCATCTGCCTTGTAGGGATGGGTGCATGAATCGATGGCTGTGCCCCTGCAGTGTGCAACATTCTTGATGTATGCAGGGGTGTTGAGAGAAATTTCTGATGGTGATCTCAGCTGCTGTTTAAGCATGTTCCTTTCACTACACAGTTTAGACTGAGCACAGTAATTTACAGGATGTGTTCAATACTCCATGCTGTTCCAGCTGTGCCCATGGGAAATAGGTTCCCTGGTTTTGCAGCCAGCAAACCTTTTACCGCCTTATCCAAAGGCCATTCTGTGCCAGTCAGCTGAGTGMAGCCCTGTTTCTGCGTATACGTTATTTATGAATATCAAGAAACTTCGCGAGTCCTTAGTGCTTATCAACATATTCTCATTTTAGTGTGTTTGTGCAAAACTAAACC